TATACTTGAAGTAGAAAGAAGTTAATTTTGTCTAAGACTTTACAGTTGGTAAAAAGAAGACCTGGGTCTCAAATCCAATGCTGATTGACATCAACTTTCATGAACTTAATCACTATGCTATTCTGGTACCATCTGATTTATAAGAAATTATTGGTAGGAATGAAAAGGAATCATACACCTTATATTAGGGATTTTTGAGAAAACCTAAAAATTTTTCTAAGTAGATAAAAACCCAGTCAGGGATTAGTCTTCTATCAGGGATAGGTTCTCTTATAAATAAACATGGATGACCCTACCTAAATCTCTTCTGTACTGATTTCCTCCTTACAGTTTCCTTGATATAAATATTTTTTCCTATTAATTCTATATGCATTTTTGTATACATGCTACATTCCTGGCCCTGTTCCACACATATTATTAGATAAAACCAAATAAATTATGGTCTATCTGTATTGAAAGCTTTGTGGTAAATAGAAAAATCACAGGAAGTAGCCTAGGCCTCTGAATCTCTGGTAATTCTGCTATAAGGCACATCAACAGTTATTTATTTTATACCAATATATAATGATACCAACCCTCTGTATACGGTGTCTAATCATTTGTGCTAAATTGAAATGGTTGATTCCAGAGCGGAGAAAGGAAAGACACAAGATGAGCCTAGCATATTTTGTCATGCAGCAAAGTATGAAAGTGTTAAAAAGAGAAATGATGGGCACATATCACAAGGATACGGGAACCAGAATAAAATAAGCCCCATCGGCCAAATCAGGGACAATCTGAGCACTGAAGTAATTAAAGACAGCAATGAATTATAACAATGTTTAAAAGTTAGGAATCCATGAGTCTATGTCTTAAGTAGATAGATAAATAAATAAATAAATAAACAAACACATAAATAACAAATAAGGGAAAGTGAGGTTCTTGTTTACAGCAGAATGCCAAGTGCTAACTGGTAAAAGTAGAAGGATTGCCTAAGCTAGAAAAATCATCTTTTGCAATCATTAGGGTTAAGCTTGGTTCACAAAAGAATCACTGACAATGATAAACCTAAGGGTAAGGTTGATAAGTAGCAGATATTCATATGTTAAGCTCTTAAAACCTTCCCCTCCTGCTTACTGGTAGCATGGGGAAGAAAAAATAATAATAACTATACAACGCAGAAATCAGACAACACCTTGATTTGGTAATCAAAATCAACATCATAAATGAGGAACAGATGGATATACTGTGCCTCTGGATATCATTCCTTGAGAAGGCTACAACTTCATTTATTTGTTTCCAGGGGGGCATAACTAGAATGTAATCATGAAGAAATATGAGTGAAACAAAAAATAAGGAATATTCTATTTTTAAAAAGGGGTACATACATTTTTGAAAATGTCAATGTTCAGTAATGACAAACAAAGTTTAAGGAAATAATTCCCAGGCTAAAGAAGACTAACATGATATGACAATTAAATACAATACTTGAACTCTGTACTAGAGGAAAACAAATACTATAAAGGACACTATTCGATCAGTTGACAGAATTGGAATATGGAGAGTAGTAGGATAAAAGTATGATAACAATGTTAAATGCATGAAAGTTGAACACTGCAATGTGGTTATGTTAGAGAATATCCTAATTCTTCAGAAACGCACACTGAACGAACTAGGGAGAAAAGGGCATGATAAATACAGGTAGCTCTCAAATGATTCAATGAAAAAAATACATATATATGCACACATTTTTTTCTACATACTCTACACATAGTAAATAATGAAGCAAATGGGAGAGATGATTGTGTAGGAGACTGGGTAAAGGATATAATATGTTCTTTGTATGATTTCTGAAATAACTTTTAAACATAAATTTGAAATTAATTCCTAAATATAGAAAAGGAAAAAATAGAAAGGGACCATTGTTAAATAAACTCTAAGGAAGCTCATATGCCCAGATACTTCTTAGGAGAGGTGTTTTGGGGGAACATACACTGAGTTGTTAGAACTAACAGGTGGAATGGCAACTCCAGCTGGCACAGTTGATATCTGTGATGTGGCTGAACCCACAACCTAATTGTTTTGTACATTAGGGAGAAGTTCTGTGGAGCTATCATTCAGTGACCAGACATTTCTTACTGACTTTTAAAACTAGAAAAGTCCATGAATAGGTTGGCAAGAATTGCCACAGATACAGGTAAAAGCATCTAAACAAATCACACGTGTACAAAAGCTAGCCATTGTTTTTAAGTTGACAGGGAGTACAGGTGATGCTTGAACAACATGAGTTTGAACAACACGGGTCCACTTATACATGATCTTTTTAAATAAATATCTGTACTAATTTTGATTTGCAGTTGGGAGTCCGCAGATGCTGAGGGCTCACTGTTTGCATTGATCTTTTCCATTTATACAGGGGACTTGAATATCTATGAACTTTGGTGTCCGTGGAGGGTCCTGGAACCATTCCCAACAGATAACCCATGGACAATTTAAATTGTTGAGGAAGTGAAAAGTTATAAGCAGATTTTTGAATGTGCGGGGTCGACACCCCTAAAACCCGCATTGTTCAAGGGTCAACTGTATATCTATATCTATTTTTAACACTAAACCCTGCTAACATGGTGACTGCTGTTTTGAACCACATTTCTTATGTGATATAGCAAAAGAAAAGAATATACAAAATATTGTTATTTTTAGGTAAAATATAAACAGATCAGTGAGTTTTATAATTTTGCATTTGAATATAAATATATAAATTGAAAAAAGCTAATAGAATTATCAGACATATTACTTAAAGCATAAACTCCACAGTGTTGTGCATTTGAATATAGATCATTAACAAATTATAATTTGAAATTATTGGAAGCATTTATAAAAATATCAGCCGTGTCTAGCTATGTATTGGATAATAGTTAATATTTATGCTAATTTTACTAATTTGCAATTTGGCAGGATCAGGAAAACAAATCTATACACAGTTTAACTTATAAACCCAATCTGTCTTCCTTCAGCTTCATGATGTTATTCATCATCATTATTCTAATAACTTCACTAACCAACATTCATGCTATTTAATTAAACTAAAATGTGTCCAAGCACTCAAAAAAGAAGAATATGCATAATAACAAGCCCTGCAAAGCAGGAGAGTTAAGTCCAAAATATTAATCTTAAATTATATAAAGACGAAGATTATGTGCTTCATTCTTACAAAAATTATATTACCATATCAGATTTAAATCCCTGGAAAGATGATTAAGAATCATATATTTGCATATCATCTTATACTTGTTAAAGCACATTTACGCCTGTTATCTTTTTTGAGTCTCACAATAGCCAGGGATTATAGTCATTTGATTTTTGGAAAGTAGGAGACTATTGGGTTGTCGGAAAAGTCATGACATATTTTTTCTATGTTTTTCGTTGCAAAAATGTGTCATGACTTTTCCGACAACCCAATAGCTGAGAATCATCGAGGCTCAGGGATTCACACTAGGATTGGCTGAGCTGAGGAACAGGGAAGTTGAAATAGGAGCACATGTCTCCTAACTGCTAGTCCTGGGCTTCTCTTGCACTCACAGAGATTCCGGTCACTGATTCAGTGCTCCCATAACCCTTTTATGATTCTGTAACCACTCTAGGAAGTGAAGTGTTAGCAGTCAAGAGCACACTCATGCTTCAGAAATACTATAAGGGCCGTAATGCATATTATATAAGTGTATACTGCTGTTACATTGATTTTTTTTCTCACATTAATAGTGATACTAAGCATATGATGGGAGTAAGTTTCATTAGACCTACTGCATAAATGAGGAAACTGAAAGACACTTAAGGATAAGTGATATTAAAGAAAGCATTAGCAGATAAAATAGATGTTCCAATCGTACTCTTTCTATGCCTACATAAAATGTGCCTTTCTGATTTCTTTAAAAGTAATTTCATCATACTAGCCCCTGTTGGAGCTATTTCCACTCAAAAAATATATATAAATTAAATCAAATTCTATTGTCTGAAATGTGGCACCCTATTCATTAAAAGCACCACCTTCACTCCCATGGTATACTCAAAGCTACATAGTTCAAATATTTAAATTTTAGACAAATTGATGACTCTGTTGGAGTTGTGGCTGTAAAAACAGGAGTGTTTTGATGATGATTACCCTCCACTTCCTGAAGCAGTCTCAGTCTCTCTAGGACAGCGGTTCTCAACCTGTGGGTTGTGACCCCTTTGGGGGTCGAACGACCCTTTCACAGGGGTCGCCTAAGACAATTGGAAAACAAAAAGATATTTACATTACAATTTATAACAGTAGCAAAACTACAGTTATAGAGTAGCAACGAAAATAATTTTATGGTTGGGGGTCACCACAGCATGAGGAACTGTATTAAGGGGTCGCAGCATTAGGAAGGCTGAGAACCGCTGCTCCAGGAGGATGCACACTGTAGAAGTACCAGACACCCATAAACACATTATACCCCTTAATTTCACCTACCTATGTGATCTTGTATAAGTTTCTTAAACTCTGGAGTTTTTAGATCCCTCATCAGTTAAAATTTAATTTTAACTACCCGATTCTTAATTCTGAACTGCATTTTCAAATTAGACCCAGCGACCTCATCATTTGTATACTTTCTTACTCCCTTGATTACCTTAGAGCAGTTCATGAAGGCCTATTAACATGTGAATGCCTATTGAATAAATGCCTTCAACACTGAAACGAAGTTATTTCTCTTGTGCTACTTCCACCACTGGAGTCTTCTGTCTATTGATTTGTGATTAAACAGTATGCTAAAATGAAAATAACCTTGACTAAGAATCAAGAGACATGGGTTCTATTCTGGGCTCGGACATAAAATGTTCATTTAACTTTTAGAAGCTACACTGTGTTTAATACAAAAATACACATCCTGCCTACCTCACGAGTAAGATGTGAAAGAGAATCTGACTCTTAAGTTCTGAATGTGTGGGGTTACTGGAGAACACTGAACAGCACAAACAATACTGACAGGCTTCTGCTTTACCTGACGGGGAGATGTGCCGCCAAGAAATGGAAGGCTCTGGTTTCCCAGTGGCCAAGCAAGTGAGCGTGACATTGGTTCCTTCATTGATGGTCATATCGTTTGAGATGTCATATATCTTCGGAGGAACTGAAATGGTAAAACATGCAGTGGGTCAGAAAAAAAATACATAAAATTCGTTGAACTATTTATGATAAAACTCCATGAGACCGTGCAATAAAACCGTGGTGGTGAAATGGACTTATGGCCTATGATTATCACCCAAAGACTTATTTATTCTCTGCATCCTCAGGATATTCCTAGAGTTTTTTTGTTTTGTTTTGTTTTGTTTCTGTTGTTGTAGCTGTTGATTGATATTTCAGGATAAGTGGAATACTTAATGACACAAAAGTTTAAATATTGCCTATATTGAATTTTTATTGTGGATACTTTGTATTTTGTAAACTAAGATATAGCCAATCTGCCTGTTCTACCCATGTATTTTCACTATAATGATGGTTTCCTTGTTGAAATGATTAAATAAAAAAGGAAATCTGGAAGAAACTTAAAATAACAGACCAGTTATGCCTACTTACTAATTTAAGAGCTGAGTAAACATATACAGGATTGGGAAGTAAGATTTCAAGGTCCCAAAGGTATTTTGAGCCTCAATTTTCTATCTGCCAAATAGTGGGCTGAAAACCACTGATTGAAACAGGTCTCTTCATTGAGGGATTTCTTAGAAACTCTGTTATGCCCACTAAAAATCTCCAAGAGTAAATGGGGAAATATTCTTTTTTTTTTTTCTCCCCTGATGTATTAGGCTATGGAAGCTTTTATCACCAGGGCAGCTGCTGAAACTAGTGATCATGGAATACACTTTGGGAATTTGGATAGAAAAATAAATCCCTAAATTAACTTCCAGGATTAAAGTGTCCATATTCTCTCAAATACCAAATGGTCTCATTTAATCCTCAAACAACATGAATCCGAATCCTGGGCCCTCTAACTGGCTAGTGTGTTATCTAGGGCTCGTTACTATCTATCTCAGCCTCAGTGTCATCATCTGAAAGCTGGAGATAATAATAATACAGACCATATACAGCTACTGTGAACATTAAACAAGTCAGTATATGTTTAATGATGTCAAAAAGCACTTGGCATCAGTATTAGCTATTATTATTGGATGTTTTAAAAGATATATATGATATTGCATTTAATTTCAGTACTGCCTTTTCCCCATGCCTTAAAAGTGCTCTCAGAACTTCACCACCTTGGTAGTATATATGATTGGCCTGTGCCATAACTTTTGGTTTACTATATACAAATTATAGTATACTGAAGTTCCATGTCAAAGCTAAATAAATGGTGATTAGATACCTTATTATTAGAAAAATGTGCTATTTTACTCTTTTTTTTAAATTGTTACATTCTTAGGGTTTCTTTACACAAAAGATGTTTCCACAGTTTTTGAAAAAAACAGTAACTAAAATCTGTCATAAGGATAAATTAAATTACCCAGACTTTGAATATCATCTTTGATTTTTTAACAGAACCATAACTCTGCTACAAGAAAAGCTTGGATGATAATTACAAATATAAAGCATTCCATTATATGTAACTGTGGCTATGGTTGAGGAAAAGGCTTATTCCTAAGTGACATACCATTGTAAGTGTTTCTAAACGACATATTTTAATTGGCATTTAAAACATATCATCATTAAACTCTTCAGTGAGCTCTTCTCAGGCAAATAATAATAATAATAAAAAATTAAAAACCTTTCCAAAGAGAAGACTCTTTTTAGCTTAAATGAAACAGAACAGAAATACAGACATTGAAATACCATGGAAGGAAAGTAGGGAAAAATGTGAATGACTTACTACTGGTGAACAGGAAAGTTAATAAAAATAAACTTAACGACAACCAAGAATACCATTTGGCTAGGTGGATGTAGGTATAGCTTTGATATAGTAAACTATGAAATATACGTGTGCATATGTGTGAATGTATACACACACAAACACACACACAGATACATACATACCAATGCCCACTATTAAGAAAATAGAACAAGTTACATAGCACTTTCCTCCTTTATACAGAAGATAGTACATAGACATTAGTTTAGTCTGGCTAGTTTATTTATATATTTCAAACATATAACTGATACAGCTTTAGACAGCGGTTGTGTATATTTAAGGAAAAAGATGGAGTGTCATGAGACCATGCACCCTATCCTCTCAATTACATTATTTTGTCTACTCTGTCTGTTCTTAAAACCATTTTATTTCATCTTTACACATCTACCTATATTGTGAGCACTAAACATGAGTGGTAAACTAATATTAAACACAATATTTGACTTCACAGAGAAACAAAAGTTCCCTAGCAATCAATATAGGTTTGACATTTAACTGTGTGAAATTGTGTAGTGGGGGACGAGTGTCTAAGTCCAGGTGTGACACGTCATCTCAGTGATCGCAATCACCTCCTGGGGCCTCATAATTCAGAATATGCTGCAGGGAAGAAACATCTGGAAAGAGGGAACATCCCTTTGGCAAGGCTCTTCTCCCTAGCACGCATCACCTGTCGACTGCAGATACTGTGTGTAGAGAGGACCAATGAAATCCTTCATGTGCACTGCAGCTTGTGGACACAAAAACAGGTGTTGCTTCACTGAATACTCAAAGCCACTGCATGTTCAGTTGAAGATTTCAAACTTTTACTGAGTATTATGATAGGAATAATTCTGAACTCACAGGAAATGCAAACATTTCAAAACATAAACCTTGTCCACAAGGAACTTAAAATTAAAAGAAAGGGGCGGACAGGTAAGTAACTAAAAGGAGACAAATATTTTCCACATTTTCCCTTACCATTTTACATGAGTAACACCTATCTAATAGGTATTCTTTCTGGGCCCAAATCAGTAGAGATTAGTTTTATGTTAGTTTCTTTCTTTCTTTTTAATTAAACTTTATTGGGGGTGACAATGGTTAGTATAGTTACATAAGTGTTTTTTTGTTTGTTTGTTTTTTAGAGATTTTATTATTGGGGAATTCGGGGAGGAGAACAGTGTTGGGGAATCAGGGAAGGGCAACAGACAAGTTGCTGTCCTTTTGTTCTTCAGTCTAGTTGTGGAGGACGCTGCTTCACTGGCCCATGTTGGTATTATCATTGTGCTCTTCCCGGGTGAGGCAGTTGCTTGCCAGCCACTGGACGGGCTCTCAGCAGCTCAGGAAAGCTCACACCCACTGCCAGCCAGCCTCACAGCAGCCCAGCTTCAGGTCAAGCTGTTTTTCACCATCCTAGCTGTAGAAGGCACAGCGTCACTGGCCTTCATGTGGGATCCAAACCAGGGCCCTGCTGCTCAGAGCTGGCGTCCCAAGCCAACTCCTAACCAACACGCCACTCTGCTGGCTCAAATCACATAGGTTTTAAGTGCAAAATTTTGTAATACATCATCTATATATCACTCTGGGTAGTGAACACTGAGTGCTTGTTTCTTTCAATGTGAACCATGTAGGACAGTTTATACGCAAAGCTATTTGGTGTGGTACTATTTATAAAGAAGAAAAACTATTAAAAACCTCAATGTAGGACAACATAAGTAGAAGTATTGTCAGCTCTGCTTCCAGAATAAGGTAAAGTACTAGGGGAGGATTTGGGATGATTCCAGGGAGCATCAGGCTAAGGGAAAATGGGAGAGAAAAGAGATGCTTCTACTTTGGATGGCAGAAGTAGAGAAGAATGGTGATATCTCAGGCGTCTTAAGACCATCCAGTTCCAGTAGCTGCTCTTGGGTTACGGTTTGTCTATAAATGATGCATGCACACAGGTGGGAAGGCCTCTGGAGCTTTCTACATAACAAAGCAACATGTCTTACAGTATGTCCAATATTCTGTGCAGTTGCTTAGAAAAAAAGAAAAATGAAGAGAGTTAAAATAACTTACTACTCTGGATGTGTGTTCCTTTTCTATATACCTTATTTCAAATTTTCTCACTTTTTCATTTAGAAATTAAATGATTTCTTTAAAAAGGAGAAAATATGTTTAACCAACTGAATAATTTTAAGTCACTAAATAACTACAGATTTTAGTAAGTGTTTTGCATTTCTGTGCACATTATTTAAGTATTTTATGACCTAGAGCAGAGTAATAAAGAAGTAAGTTATTCATCTATATGTAAACTTGCTTAATTTACAGGAAATAATTATTACATTACCATCACTGCCATCATCATCATGACACCAGAAATAAAAACAGTAAAGAAGTTCTAGGTTTCATATTAAGTCATAGACTATCTCTCCTAATGAGACTCTAATTGGGATATACAAGACTTTACAACTGTGTTGAAAATTATTTGTTGTGTGTCACCAGTTAAAGAGTTGTAAAGCACTGGAAACTTTATAAACAACAGAGGTTGGAAGTAGATTGAAAGGTTGTGTTGGGGTGAAAAAAAATTTTTTTTTAATTCACATATACATTTAAAGGAATCACTCTTGATCTCTCAAGTTCATAACCTGCCTTGACTTTAATTATTCACAGGCCTCAACTTCAACAGCTACTTAACACCTTGTTCTCAACTCCTATTCAGTTGACTCCATGATGAGATGATGGTGCATATTTAAATGTATCTATAGATTTAGATTCACTAAAGGTAATTTAACTCTTATTGGTTTCACTTTCACCAAAAAATTATGCAGTCTGACCTGCCCCAACTGTCTTCCCCCATCTGAATCATCCATTATAATGTTATCAGGCAGGGTATGAAGCAGTGTCGGTAAGGAAAATCTCAGAATACATATCCAAACCAAATACTAATGATTCCCACACAGCCAACTATTTGATAGTATTCCTTGCCATGTGCATATAATGAGCAGTTGAGTTTGTGAGGGGCTGCATGTTTTTTGTTGTTGCTGTTGTGGATATGCTTTCTGAGCTATATAAACAAATATTTTGTTTGTTTAATGAACAGCCTTCACAGGTTTAACTTGAGTGTCTTCCAAGAATTTATCTTGTAGTCTGGAACATAACTGTAAAAATTTGAGAACTCGACACAAGAGTGACTCATCTGTAAATTCCAGGAGTCAAATGAGCACAGTGTTTTATTATATTAAAAGTCTGTACAGATGATTTTCAGAAACAAT